TCAGGTGGCAGATGGAAAGGAGAGACGGCTTCTTGTGTTTTTAAAGTATACTGAAAATGAGATCCTTGACAGAGCCATGATGACTGAATTGATAATAGTTGCTGTTATTATATTTCCTTTCAGCAAAAGGTACTAAATGCCACTACATCATGATGACCTTGCCTGGGTGGGAAATGAAACTTCTGCTAGAAAACAACCAAGCTCCAAGAACTGAACAATTGAACCCTGTGCTCCATGTATTCTCTACTTGAAAGATGTTAACTACCACTACGTTGAGCATTACAGGGTATAAATAATATTGATGTTGGCAAACATGGTCCATCTCTAGCATTCTATCATTTTATTCAAAGTGCAATCAACTACTTTAAAGGCATAGAGAAAAGGATTGTGCTCCCTTTGTCATAGGAGATAAGATTCACTTATGTTACCATTAAATGCTTCAATGACTTGCTGAAGAGTTTCTAATGAAAGTCCACTGTATCCTTTGGCTAGGACATTTATCCTCAGAGCTAAGAGCATACGGCATCTCTCTGGAATCAAAGGCTTCCCAACCCCTGAAACAAAAATGTTCACTTCAAGATTATCAGGATGAAAATGATTGTAAAAATGGTTATGAAATAATTAGAAATGAATCATTACCTGCAGAATGTGACCGGACTAAGTTCACTTGCAGCTCCCTCAGAGAGAAAAGAGCAGAAAATAGTCAGTTCAAACTACATTATGAAATTAAATTTAATGCAAAAAGTTAAAAAAATTAAAACTATGGAAATTATTTCACTATATTAAAAATACCTTTGGCTCAAGCTGACCATTTAGAAGTTGTCTATATTTTCTAGAGTTTTCTTTTACAGCAGGGGTGTCAAATTGCCGGCCCATGGGCCGGTTGCATCATGCAGAGGCCGCACCCACTCCAGCTCCAGCAATGGGGAAAAAATCACAATACGTTGCTACACGTCATGTGACGTGGCGAGTTTGACACGCGTGTTTTACAGAGTTTAGAAAGAAATAAAAGTGACATACTGTAGCTTACTGTTTGGAATAACAGTCTGTGCAAACTTCCCAAAGCCTGTTGTAATACCGTAGACAACTGAAAGAAACAGATGCTTTATTATTATTATTAATAATAATAATAATATTTTTTTCAAGAAAGAGACTTAGATAGTCATGTTTATAGCAATGATTGTTTAGGTAGGACTGGCCTTTTGGGCTCTGTACTCCAGGGCTGTCTCAAATATCACTTAGAAAATGGTCAATGATAATGGCAGCAATAAAGAAGCAGATGGCAGGCATGCTGGCGTCACTACAATCAGTACTGTTCATTGCAGCAGCTTTATTGTTTTCTTCCTTTCAAAATGCTTTATAATCAGGGCAGACTCCTTGGGCGTGTACCTATTTACTTGCTGCAGTCTTTTGCCTGCAGTCCTAAATCATGCGGGACACATAATAGGGCATCTGAGAAGATGATATCACAGGTGAAACATTGTCTTCATGATACCTTTTTCATATCAGTGGGTTATTGTATTGATGGTCATGGTGGCTCCTTTCCCATTTTCTACCTTTCATTCTGTCCCAATGATTGCAACATAGCGGATGGGTCTTAATATTTTTATTATTTTATATTAAGAATATGTTTTCTCTTTTTCTACAGAAAGTGGTGTTTATTCCCAGCTGAACGTATGTGGCGTCAGAGCAGCAGATGCAAACTCAGTTCTATTTCTATTACTTCATTGCCACAATTTGGGTGTGTAATACTATAGGTGCATTTTGCTTATTTCAGAATAAGGTTGGCGGGAGGATTTTGTTTGCTCTCAAATTCTAGGGATACAAAGTAAGAAGCAGAAGAAGGGAAATATCGGTCTGTGCTCCCAGAAGATAATTTTATAAAATGAAAGCAATGGTTACCTCTTTGTTCACTTATAATACTTTCAATAACATCTCTGGATTTTTTGACTCTAGTTTCAGCTTCAGGAGTAAGCTGGAAAAATAAAGATCTTACTTATTTTGTGTTTTAATTATGGGTAAAGGGCAAAAACATCAAAATCTCTCCAGTTCTTTACCTTGATTTTATACAGCCCCTTTCCTAAATTGACCAAATCTTCTGTTGTCAAACTATTTCCATCTAAATAAAGATACTGAACAAAAGAACTGTGTGAGAGTGAATAACATGACATCAATAATGACAATCAATTGTAATCTGTGGAGCTATTGCTGATGCTTGGGCACAATCAAAGGCATTGAAGTGGAACTATCAGAGTTTCTCTTTCATTTCTCTTTAATTTTTATATTGCTCTTCCTTCTGGAGGACCACAAAACAGTTTATAAGAAAAAAATAAAAATAATCTTAAATTGAACCATTGTACTAGTAGGAACTATTTTCATGCAATTAAAAAAAACTTTATATCCAAAAGGCAGTCTTTCAGACTATTAAACTCTTAAAGTGCAATGCTTCTTTCCAGCATCTTTTTTAGGACTATGCCAGGGGTGTCAAACTGCCGGCCCACGGGCCGGTTTCATCATACCGGAGCCGCGCCCACCCCATTGCCAGCAATGGTGAAAAAGCTCCGATACGTCGCACGACGTCACGTGACGTCGCGAGTTTGACATGCCTGGACTATGCACAGTGGTAGGATTCAGCTGGTTAGCACCACTTTGGCAGAACCGGTAGCTAATTTTTTGTTGACCAAGCCCAGAATGGACTTCCGGAAGCAGCATCCACACAGACAACGGTTGTTCACATATTTGAATCCCACCACTGACTATGCAATCAACCAATTTACCAGACTTGAGAGTGTTAGGAATGTAGCTTCTTCTGTTTACTCAGAAGTAGTTCCCACTGTGTTTGATAGATCACAACCTAGACATGTACACAGAAGCATGTCATACTGTTGCTATGGTGGTGTATTATTGGAGCACTAAGGGTTTTTTTAGACAGTGTTGGAAAAGTAAGAAAACCAGGAAGCCTGCATATTTATCATCTAAATCATAGTGTAAAAGAAGAAAAAGCAAGGGATCGGGAGAGATCAGGAAGCAAACATATTTGGATTTATATTCCAAATTATGAAATATATATTATGGAGCAGGCTTTAATTTCAGTTCCCACTAATGTATGGTAATGGCCATTCTGGTTGTGATGCTGTTAATTTGATCACATCATGTGGGCATGAAATTGCTGAAGGCTGTGCTAACTCTTCATAAGTCACCTTTCCTCCATACCTGTTCCGGTTCTCTATATTTACTGTATCTGAAATAACATATAAGAAAAATAAACATGACAAGCTGATGGTTTACATTTTAGAATATTTTGGAGCATTTATTTTACTTTTGTTCATTTAAACTTCTTTTCAGGCTACTGCTATCAGCAAGAGAAAGAATACAGTTATGTACTAAACTAAATCTTTTCAACCTAGGAATCTTCAAAAAAAGATACATCTGAGAAATTTTTCAAAGGATACAAATAAATACCTTCTGGCTGAGAAGGAATGAAATCTGGGGACATTACATCTCCTTGTATCACTGGAGGGAAAGGGAAATTAATCACATGAGTACATAGATTTTCTTCATTTCTATGTCCAGATAAGTCATGCCTTCGTTATCTTTCTTTGATAAGAAGCATACCCTGCACATTCAGAATCAAGCACACTATATCCACTGGGTATTGTGTGGCATATACATTTAAATCATCATCACCATCACGCTAAATCATCCAAACCTTATTATGCCATTTCCCCATGTCTCTCTATGCTTTCTTTTTTCCTAATTCCCTTATTTATTTAAAAGCTTTGTATGGCCATCCATCTTAGAACAAAACTCTGAGCAGGTTGCAACAACAATTAAATTAAAAAAGCATAAAAAACCCCAGCCAATTTACATTCTCCCATCTCTACACCAGAAAATCAGTTCCTCGTGCTATTTTAATAGCAAACAGACATACACAACAATTTTGTCAGAAAGGTATGTGCAAATATTTATTATTTGCACATATCTTTTCCATATTGGTGATAATGGGCATTATGGAAATAGCAGTCCAATTTATATTGTTAACAATAATTACAGAAGGCTGATGCAAAAGCATCAGCCAAGAAACCAGATCCCTATATCAGAAACTGATTGTCAAAAATTTGATAGTGGGTTAGCAATAGGGAGAAATGATAAAGGACCAACAGCACAGAGACAATTGCGTTTCAGCTGAGATACAATTGCAGCTGAAATCTGGGATGTTATGATTAATGTGACATCGAAAACAGCAATTTAGATCTAATATATTTTCTTTCAGTGTATAAATAAGGAAAATGCATGGTTTGTAATATCCCTTCTAAAAATGCTTTTAAGATATTTGAAAGTAACTGTGACTAAAATATTGTATATTTAAACATAAACACGTTCCTGATGTTGGCTTCTCTGGAGAACAGCTTATATTGTTTCCTGCCATCTTTTCCCTTTCTGACCATTTAAATTCAGTTCCCTTTGATTTACACAAGATATTTTCTGACCTGTAACGTGCAGTTTGCTTACCAACTTCCACAAACTCATTGTCCTCTAGGACGTCCTCCAAGGCATCATCCTGGTCCAGCAATCCAAGTCCTTTGCTGCATCGTACATAGAATGTCACTTCTTCCACTGAAGCAAACCCTCCATTATCAGGCTTGTTTTTGACGTAACGCCTCAGAGCTTCTTTTCCCAGCCATCGCACTGTGCTTGCCCCACTTTGACAAGGGACAGTCAGCCATTCCCCTCGGACATGCACTGTGTACCTTGGCATACCTGTGTTCAGTTTGCTGTTGCCCTGTTACTAGAAAGCTTCAGTTTAAGGCTGAGCACCACTGCCTTCAGTCTAAGGCTGAGCACCACTCTGATCTACATTCTGCAGCACAAACCACCTGACTGGCTTCTACTGTCCCAATCAGAAGACTAAAAAGCCACCCACCCACCCACCCGGAGGTTCCCGGGCTCTGCAAATAAATCAACATATGTACATAACGGAGTTTGATGAAAAACATAGAGAAAGCAAGTCTTTGTAAATTAAATAAGCACCTCTAGTTGTCCAAATTAGCTCTGAAGCCTGTTTTGTTTCGTTTTTGTTCTTGAAAGAACTGCTTCCTAAACTCAAGTGATTCCAAATATATTAATTTTTGTAGGGTTAGGGTTAGGGTTAAGGTTAGTGTTAGGGTTGGGTTTTTTTTTAATATTTAGCAAACAGCATATTGTCTGGGTTCATGTATTTAAAAACAATAAGTAAGAGTTAATTTCTATATTATCATAATCAATATGTTAGTTAATCGCTCAATAGTCTTTTTCTTATTAGTATATATTCAGGGTTACATAGTACATATCATGTTCCTTTCTCTCTAACTCGCTTTTCTAGCCATTGGTAAAAATAAGTGATTCCAAATATTTGACTGAGTTTATCTGAATTCAAACTTTTTCCTGATGAATTTGATTTTCTATTAATTAAAATATCCTATTGCAAGTTAAATTTCTTTTTCCATGTACCCACTTTCAAAAGACTTACCTGCTTGAATAGCTAATGTTGTTATTCTTATATACTAGACAGGGTTCCCAAACAGGGGTGCGAGACGATATTCCAGGGGGTGTGAAAACTTGGGTTTAGAAGTTTCAAAATTATAGTGTATATGCATAATTCGTTGCCCTTATTTCGAACTTTTGTAAGGGGTGCAAGAATATATCAGAAGCGTTCTAGGGGTGCGGGCTATAGAAAAGATTGGGAACGCTGCACTAGAGGAATGCAATCTAAGATCACATCACTGAGTCTCCAGATGTATTCAAGCTCAAAAAGCTCTGAGACAATAACTTTCTATAAAAATATGTCTGATATTAAGTATGTTCAAGGAAAGCCCATGTGCAAACCCAAAATTTAGTTGACAGAGGACTTTCTTTTTTGTTGTGTAAAGAACCCTTAAGTTTTAGTCCGTAGCATTTCCCATTAAAAACAAATTGTTAATAGTTGCTTTGAACTCCGATTGCACCAAGCAGAGCAAACATTACTCAACTCAACCATATTTTTGTGTACTACAAAATAACTCTTTTGGTCTGTTGATAAAAGGAAGCAATAATGTGAATTCCTGACTTGATCTTCATCGCTTCTGTTCTTCTGCCAGGGATATATAAACCTTTAACCTGAATTGGAATTGAGGAACATCATCTCCCATCCAAGCACTTTAATTTTTTTTTTCTATATGTCGATCATCAAATGAAACTGCAGAAGCTCATGCTATGTTGGTGATAAAAATGTATGTTTGCACAGTCATGAACCAATAGTTTTGTATGAATAAATTAGCCTGTCTTCCCAAATTCACTATAAAACTCCATTCTAGATGAAGTTATTCTAAAATGAGCTTAGAGTTAAAAGAACATATTCCTTCAACTAAGTTGTAATTTTCTGTATGGGCACATTTTGAAAGAATATAGAAGATTTCTCTAATGACAAAATCAGTATTGATCATGAGGTAACTAGGGTAAAGCAACAACCTTTAGACTTCAGCCCTCACAGAAGTCATATGTATAGTAATAGACCTATTAACATTAATCATTAATCTAAATGTGAATACAGAACATTTAAGTAATATCTGTTATAGATTTCTCTATTGTATTATTTCATATTGAAATGCAGGTCAAATTAGAAGCAAAAAGCCATACAAGAATTGGCTATGGGGAAATAGACTGAAATTTCACTATAGTACATGGAAACTACAATTCTTTATACCTGCACACAGTCTTCTGGGTATACTTGGAAGTGGCATAGGAAGGCTCTCTACTAATTTCTTTTTAGCTCCGTTTTCTCTAAAACATCTTTCTTCCCTCATTGCAGGCAGTAACACCCTTTTTGTTTAGGCAAAATTATTCAGCATGTTTCTAAAAAAACTAATCATGTTCCATAAACAATATGGAGAAATGAAAAAAGATGACAGATATAAATCTTCTAAAATTAAAATATGGTTATAAAAACATTCAAAACTACTAGGGAATTGTGGCTAGATCTCGAATATCACAATAGACCAGGGGTAGGCAACCTTGGCTCTTTTATGACTCGTGGACTTCAACTCCCAGAATTCCTGAGCCAGCATGGCTCAGCTTGGAAACCTCTCCCTTTCCCCTCAGGGTGGCTGGCTCAGGAATTCTGGGAGTTGAAGTCCACGAGTCATAAAAGAGCCAAGGTTGCCTACCCCTGCAATGGACCAATGGATCTGTGCAGTATATATATTTTGGGGAAAATCTGTCTCCTATCGTTTCTATTCAACCTAAACAGATCTAGCAGAGGGCATGCTCTGAGCCCCTTCTATCAAAACCATGATATCTTGTTAGACTCTGCAGTTATGGCTTCCAGCAGTACAGGTGGTCCTCAATTTACAACCAAAAATGAGCCCAAAATTTCTGTTAAGTGAGACATTTGTTAAATGAGTTTTGCCTCATTTTATGACCTCTCTTGCCAGTTGTTAAGTGAATCACTGCAGTTGTTAAGTTAGTAAAAAGGCTCTTAATTGAATATGGCTTCTCCATTGACTTTGCTTGTCAGAAGATCACAAAAGGTGATCACAGGAACCCAAGACGCTGCAGCCCTCAAAAATATGAACTACTTGCCAAGCAGCTGAATTTTGATCATGTGACCATGGGGATGCTTCAATAGCCATAAGTGTGAAGAACGGTCATTTTTTTCAATGCAGTTGTAACTTCGAACAGTCGCTAAACAAACTGTTGTATGTTGAGGACTACCTGTGGTACTTGTCCTACAAAACAGCATCCCTCTGAAGTTTCAGATGGCCCTGACTCTGTTAGCCTTTCGCAGCCTAGCTGTTGCCCCAGGTGTTTGAGTCAGGTGGTTAGATAAGCTCTACTGCATTTCTAGATGAATGAGGTAGTTGTTTTATCCTGGGTGCCAGGAGTTATGTGCCGTGGGCTTTGTGTTTTAGTCCTTGTACTTCACCCAGAGCCACCATAGCAAGTCACCGTACCATATAAATCTTATAAATAAAAATAAACCAGTTAATTATTTCTGTCTTTATATTTTAAAGACAAAGATTTGACTCATGAGTCAGACATGAAAGCTATACCAACGTTGTTAAAGAAAGAGTATAAGCCAGAGATTCATCTGTTCATTGTTTATTTCAATTTTCTGATGAAGTCAATGATTGCGTTATTAAGTATACCAAAATAAAAATAGACTGCAGGTAGAAGAACTCAAAAAGCTATGATTAATATGTTTCAATAAAGTCCATTAGTCCCTATATTTGTTGTGGTAAAAGTACAACTAGTGTAGCAAAATGTAGAAAAATATAGGGGAGTTTTTCCTCCAGTTTTGCAGAATGTGCATGTAACACAAGTGCAAACTCTAGAAAATCTAGAAAGAGCTTCTTTGTTCCAGGTTCAGAGCATGAAGTAAGAAAGCAAATGAGATCTACCATGATTTAATTTGTATTTTTTAGCAGTATTTGGAAAATAGCAAAATTCTCTTATACAGGGCCAGCACTGTGAACTTTGCAGAGGTTAGGCTGTTTGTCCCTCTAGGCCCAGATCTTTGGATACCAACATTGCGGTCACTGGATGCATAGCTAGTTTGTGCTGCTGGAAAGCACTGATGGCTTGGTCACGTGATTTTTCAAATTTATAGAGATCCCTATAAAAAATTCCACATAACAAAAAAAATGTTTTAGTGCTTTTGTTTTCATTAGTGCTCTACATAATAAAAACTGTAGTCTGAACTAAGTAGGATCACATAGTTTATCTATTCTACTCCAACTATTTGGAGTTTTGAGAAAAGTTCTGCATGATAAATAGGAGCAGATTTGCATGAACCTGTTTTAGAACTTACCTAGTTACATTTTTGCCTAATATAAATAATTTACATTATTTATGTAAAATATGTATATACCATCTGCTACTTTAAAAACTCCAAAGTGGAGTGATAGATAAAACAAAACAAGGCCTCAGCTAGTGTAAACCATCCAATATTTTCAAAATGCCTCATTATATAGAAGATTGCTCTGCCTGTTAGACTGCTAGCTTCAATCAAATGAGATTAACAACATGATATTCATTAATCTCCAGTAACAACAATAAGCCAAAATCTCACACCAAATTTAACAAGATCTGTGTTCTGCTGTGGTCTGATGATAACTGCTATTCTTTAGATTTTAAGTTTTAAAATGACATTATAAAACCGTGATGCCAACTTCATAAAAAAGGTTGTTAATTCTTGCTCCTTCAACATCCAGATTGTAAAATTTGTATTGTTTCATATATGAAAGAAAAAGAAATAGACTAAACAGAAACTACTACAAATTCCACAGTAATATGGTTAATAAGTAAATTGTATATCTGCATTTTCCTTATGGTACTGGTGATTTTGAAAAAGTCAAAACAAATTAATGAAATATGTCAATGATCAGGAAAACGGCTAAAACATTTTGACATTTGTCTTACTTGAATAGTGGGCGAGTAAATTTCATGCGGCCTTGTTCAGTAGCCATCTTTAGAGCTAGAGGGATGGCATCTTCCCACTTGGCTTGAATGCAGAGGCGAAGCCATCTGAAAGGTAGCGAAATGAAGTTCATTTTCCTTTTTATTGTATTCATTTGTATTACTATAAACCACTTAACAATATATATATATATATATGTATGTATGTATATATATATATCTATATCCTTTTAATATATAACAAAAGTAATAATCGAGGTTCTATAATATGCTGTCCCTAAACTGAACCACCAAGCAAATTAATAATAGTTACTCATATAATTAATC